GTATGTATCTATCTATCTATCTATCTATCTATCTATCTATCTATCTATCTATCTATCTATCTATCTATCTCCCTTTGTAGGAATGACAAGCGTCCGCCGCCTCGACAACTTCTTTCTTCATATTGTTTTATAACAACGTCAATTCCCCGATACTTGCCCGGGTAGCAAGTACCAAAAGTTCCACTCCCAATGGACTTTGCCGCCGCGGTACGCGTCAAGTTGGCTGCACTGATCTCCCGCAATGTTGTGTTGTCGCTCTCGTTAGGTTACGCGGACGCATGAACTTTCCGTCTCAAAGCCTCACGTGAATAACAAAAATTTGACTGGAAAAAAAAAAAAAAAATCAAACAGGTACCGACAGCAGGTAGACACAGTTCAAGAAATTAAAACAAATCGTTATGTAGATCCCCCCATCAATTAGTATGTACATCTCTGACAGTACTGTTACATATATACAGCTATTATGAAAACATAATGTTCCCACTTGCAGAAAAGAGGCCTTGTTTTTAAAATTCATATGACCAGCTTTCTCTGGCAATAATCCCCAAACATGTTCTTTGCTATAATTTCACCAAGGCTATTCTAGAGTTTTCTCAATGAGGACCACATAGTTTGTTATATCTGTTAGTGGTTATAATATTATTGACATCTTTAAATGTAATCATAATATCCTCAGAAAGTTAACAACAAAAGAAACCTTAATAATCATGAATTATGCATGTATGTGATATCCTGCAACTGAATTGCATATATATAAACCTAAAATTATAAACTTACAGTGCAGCAAACTACCGAAGGATGATATGAGATCTTTGCCTGTAATCAGCTTCTCACAAATTGCTGATTCATTATTGTATAACATGCCATCGTATGAGCATAACAGCATGCACTGCCCACAAAGTGATTCAAGTTCTGCCACCTTTGAGTACATTAAAACTAAAATTACTGCTGCATGACTGTATCCGTATAAACTAGCCAGGGCACACAGTGCTGCATATATACTCCTGGACTTTAATTAAGGTAGGACTGTTTGACCTGAAAGACCTTCCCTAACGAGGCACGGTGTGGCACCAAATTCATGTTTACAGATAAAAATTAGCAAAGAAAAAACAATAATAACATCAGGCGAGAAAACCAAAAGAAGCCACTGCAAGACTTCTACATAATGGAATAGATGAGTTTGGTCATTTTCGAACTTTAGATTTGTCAGAGTAAAAAGTGAACAGAGCAGCAGTGGACTTATAGCAACCATGTCAACCTCATGCAAGTTAGGGCCTTTTTAACATGATAATTCTCTTAAATTTTTGGTTTTCTTCATGGCGCCACAATCTGTAATCTACTGGGACAATAGTAATTGAGTATCCCCTTTAGAGTTATTGTTTTTAAATCATCTCCAGAAAGAGGTTTTGATTACTGTTTAATGCTTACCTAATACATAGGTGTATTAATACCTTTTAGAAATTAATAAGCATAACACTGAGTGTGAGTGATACATGTACAAGTATTAGTTTGATACATTTTCTGTACAAGCCTAAGCAAATATACCTCTTTTATCATATTCTTCATGATTTTTAGAGCTGATCGTTCTCTATTTCATAACAAGGAAAGATTATCCCCAGCATCCAAGGCTTTCTTCCGATATGCTTTCCTACATTCCTCTGCCAGGCCCGTCCACTTTTCTCCTACTGTCCTAAAGACTTCTACACTGCCACCAACACTATCTAGTAATGGAACGTTTATCATTTAAAGGGATCCTTCTTAACCAGCAATTTGTAATTGTTAAAAGTAAGGCTCTACCATAACAGTGTGAAAACCCTTCAGACCTCCTATGGATAAGCATGCATATAGGTTTGTGCCTGCATGAATCCAGGAGTCCTTCAGAAGTTTCAAATAAAGTTATATTGAAAACAACACCTAAATCTTGAAAGGCAGCCAAATCTGAAAATTGAAATCATAAATGAGTCCCAACAGATACAGATCCAATGTCTAAAGTGATATGCCCAAATTTATGAATCCTGTTTTAGGGAAAGGCACATTAAATTAAATTTAAAGTAATGATAAAATAAACACCAATGTTTTAAAAGGGGCTGTTAAAGACAGCAAATATTTTTTTGCAAATCGCTTTAGCAATATTGCATCATTACTTTTATGAGAAATTTAATGCTGCCACTATTAATAATAACATGTAAACAGTAATTCAATGTGATCAAAAATGTCTTTTGATTAAGATCAATGTTGTTATTCTTGTTTCATATGAAACCTCTTTGAAACTATTTTACCTAGAAAAAGAAATAAGTTAATTTATCTTTCTTCATAACATCACTGGTGAATAAATTATAACCAAACTGCCTTCTGTGCGGAAGCTGTACCTTGTTTTTCGAAGCCTGCCTGCAGCCGTTGACATTTGAATTGCAATTGTTAATCTAATTCTGAAAACCAAAAAGGTAAAAGATGATGCAAAAGCATAGAAAGTGATCAATCTATATAAGTTTTAATGAAATGAGTGAAATATTTATTCAAGATGTGCATCCAGACATTGACATAAGAACAAGGTCCACTTCTCCAGATCCGTAGATTAGGGGGTACCTGCTGTAAAAGAAAACATTTTTTTCAGTCCTTCAGGCAGGCTGGCCCAGTAAATCACCACTGAATACCAATAGTTCCTTATATAGCAAATTTATATGCCTTTATTTAAAATTGATATAAAAGCTGCAGTTAATAACATAACTACATTTTTACCAATAGCGTGGGGATTTTACCAAATAACATTAGTAACTTTTGAAAAACCATGCCTATAAAAATCTGTGGGGCTATATATAAGACGGAATTTTATGTGCCTAATTGTTACAACTGCATGTCTTCTTGGAAATTAATAAAGGTTATAGCGATATTAAGAAAAAAGCATGTTAAACTGTAAGGGTACTTAAGAGCGTAAATCCGAAACTATCGAATATCGGCCGACAGAGACGAAATAACGAATTTTTTTCTTGTTTGGCCAAAAGAACCCTTTGGCTAACTATTTTCAGAAATGACATCAGAAGGTTCGATTTCCTTTTCCTTTCTTCGAAATTTGCAAAACTTGAAAATTCGGCCACAGGGACTTCAGCGGCGGCCATGAGGCTTGAAATTTGGCACATGTTCAACATGCTCGTATGGACGTACCAAACGTTGTCTTAACATGTCCTTTACACAGTTTGTG